TGCTTTTTTCTTTTTCTCTTTTTTTTTTTTTTTTTTGGTGCTGGGAATCGAACTCAGGACCTTGTGCTTACCAGGCAGGCGCAACTCTGGTTTTTTCTGAGAGTAATTCCTTGATATTTACTGTTCCACTTTTGGAAGGGCACCTAACTGTCGAACTTTATGAAAAGTTGTCTCTTCAAAGTCTTGTTCCTTGAATTTTTCTAGGTAACATGATTTCATACAAGAATTTTAAGAATTCTAACTTTTGGAGTAAGTAGGTTAGCTCAAAATTTCCTCTTCCTTGTTCTTTGGACTCCAAGTGAACTGCTCTCCCTTGGTGTAAGGTTTGTGTAGAAAATGTGACACAGGGTTGGAATTTTTCTTCCTTTTTTTGTGATGGCGATCGAACCCAGAGTCTCAAGCATGCTAGGTAAAATTGAACTCTACCGGGGAGCCCTCCCTCGCTACTGCACTGGGATCGAACCTAGTCTCCTCACTAAGCTGCATTCCCTAACCCTTCCTTAGTTTTTCACACGGTGGTCTCTGAATGGCTCAAGCTGGGCTCGAACATGCTATCTCCTACCTCAGTCTCCCGGAATGCTGGGATTACAGGAGTGGGCTACCATGTCTGGCTAGGATTAAGTATTTTAAAAAATAACAGGAGAAAAAAATGATAGAAGTCTGAACGAGTTCACATACTGAAAAGAAGCCATCAGCAGAGACAGTTTTCAATTGTAAATTAGATAGGAGTGGACGGAGAAGTCCGGAGAAGCAGGAGAGAAAAAGAACATGACAGATGGTCACAACGGGCTGAAAGTGCATCCAGACAACTTCTGGTTGCTCCTTAAAGGTCAGTGCAGGGCAAGGATGACGAAGGACGTCACGCGCAGGGGTCTGAGAGGTTCCGTGGGAATTCGAAAACAGCTGTGCGGAGCCACAGCCTGTCCCTGATTAGAGTGAGGAGCTGAGACTATTTCAGAACGCTTGCTGCGTGCGCAGGGTTCGTATTTCACATGTATAGTCTCATGTGATACTCACAACTACTTTGTGGGGCACACGCGACTCCATTTTCCACATCAGCAAACAGAATTCAGCAAGGATAAAGCGGAACTCCGCGCCGCACGACAGGATGCAGAAATACTGGCTCCTGTCTCGACGCAGGCACCGCGGAACCAGCGGCACACTTCGTTACCCAGAATTCTCATCGGCGTGGCAGAGACCACAGGCTCAGAACGACGGGGGAGAATCCGGGCAAGGGCTGGGTCGGAAGTTCCGTGAGTCTGGCAGGCTCACCCTCTCTTATGTAAGCTATGGGATATTCTGGCTCTTTAAGGGCTGCAAGTTGGGGAAGTACCACCTTTCCACTGCGACGACCGTGACGGTATGGGGTCGGGGTGGGTTCTGCTACAGACTGGCGCCGCGGGCAGAGGAAGCGCTAGAAATTTTTGTGTTCTGCAGAAGTGTGTTTGGGGAAAGTTAGCTGAAAGGGGGAGGCGGGGCGCGGTGTGCGGAAGGCCGTGAGTGCAGACTCGGACCGCGTGGGTTCCGCAGGGCCCACGCCGCAGGTCCGGGGTCTGCGGAGAGCAGCATCCTGTTCCCGGAGCCTCCTTGAGGCTTGCGCAAAGCTGACTACTTGGGTCGGTTGGGGTCTGCCTGCCTGTAGCTGGGAGACCCGAGGGGCCACGAGGAAGACGGGACTGTTGTGATGATCACTAGTAATAGGAAGTGCCGTCAGAAGCGATGACTGACGACGTTTATGCTTGATCTGATTACAGTCGCTGAAACCGCAACGGATGAGTGAGACGTTACTGCCAGATTCTACTCTGAGTTCTTGTTCTTGCTCTTTCAGATGTGGGACTCAATGGAGAATATTGGAGACGGGAGCGGCATCCCGCCGTGAAGTCGGGTGCGTTGACTACGTGACTTGGGGAGGGAGATGCAGCTCAGTGCTAGAGGGTGGCCTGCGCACGCTCGAGGCCTTGGGTTCGATTTCCAGCAGCGTTAAAAAAAAAA